ATGTTTTTCTTCGCATTGGTTGTCCACTTTCTCCAACTTTCATCGCAAGATCTACAAACGCATCGGAGAATTCAGTGCCTATGAGAATGTCAATTTTACCTCCATCTAGATACAGTTTATCAATTAATGGTTTTAAGTGACTAAATTTTTCTAACGATTTTACAGAAACCTTCTTCGGATCACTGCAAGGCTGTTGCACCACGAACACTTTGAAACTTTTCTCGACTAATGGATAATCGATAGGCGATACTGTAATAGGAAACGTTTCTGAAAGTTCTATTTTCCGTTCTCCTCCAGCAAGGAGCATATTCAAGGTAATTTCCTCGCCGTGTAGTACGAGCCTCTGTGCAAAATCTTTTCGAATTAAACAAACATCTGATCCAGAATCTTCAAACACCAATGCCTCCCTTTTATCACCATTTACATCTTTGACGTTGATAAGCTGTACAGGACATTGGGCTGACACAAAGCTGACATTTTTATTCACAGACAAAGACTGATTGTTACTATTTAATCTTGATGAATTTGTACCCGAAAAGGGCTTAGCATCGGGATTCAAATAAGATTTATAATTGTCAATGTGAAGCATCAAATTGATACATTTATCACAGGCAATTCCACTTTCGCATTTATCTGTATGATGACCTTTGAGCACTTTCGGCATCTCCGTTGTTTTCGAACAGTTTTCCATCGCTCAGGAATTCCTATTGTTTTAAATTTTGGACAATTTAATAAGACAATTGTGTTTTTCTGAGCATTCTAATGGACAGTAGTTTTCGGCCTCATTTGTCTTTAAAGTAGCAGTGGAAGAATGTTTATAAGAATTGGGTTTATGGGAATATTTATTAAAATAAGTATTAGTGTTATTACTGTTCGTAAAATAGTTTGTATCTACATGAATAGTAGCCATGAAATCAAGCCAGTCAGCTAGAGTTTCTGATGTCTCTTCTTGGCCTTTTAGATTAACGGGACACCTAAACTTTCAAGTGTTTCTCTATCCATCTTCTGCCGAAGTTTATCCAAAAATACCTCACACTTTGTTTCCTGTGTTTTATCAATGTCTTCAAATTGTTGTATCAATTCACGAATAATGGAAGAAAACTCTGATAATGATTCTGAATTGTTCGATTTGGGCGTATGTTACCTTGCAACGCAAACTATTTTTGAGTTATTGCCCTTGACTTTGTTAAAACGCGTCGAAATTTGTTAAAAATAGTTCGTGAGCAGGATTGAAACTACAGTTTTCAACCGATTCTGATGAAACTTGGTGTGAGCATTGGAATTGATAAGATCTCGGACAAGTTCTAATTTGACGCATTTTCAAT